GGCTCAAGTGGTAGAGTGCTAGCCTTGAGCTGAAGAGTTGAGGGACAATGCCCAGAGTTCAAGCCCCACAACCAACCAAAAAATAAAATAAAAAAGAATAAAAAAAATTCTGTTCAAACAAGTTTCCCCTCCTTGCTCTAGAAAATCAGGTGAGTTGGAGTTGGTTTACTTAAAAGAGCAGTTCTTTGGGAGAGAATAACTAGCTTGTTAGTTTATCTGATTGAAACAAATAGCCACATAGACTGTCCATAGACAGTGTCACAAAGCGACTGTTTCGAGAGTCACAAAACAAAACCACCTTTGGGTCAACACCAGGCTGTAGCAAGAGCCCAGCTGGCAGTACTATAGAATATTAGCATGAGACCTTCTTCCCAATCACTTGCAATGACTTTGATGAAAAATTGAATGAAATCCTAACCAGCCTTTACAGGTACCTTACATTGTTTTTTCTGAGAGGTGGTGATAGGGGTGAACCTTTCTTTGTTCCAGGCCTCTGCTGATTAGCCACAGAGCCTGTGATTGAAGTTTGCAAAAGAATGGAACCCATGACATCATCCTTGTTGAAAAACTATACTTGACAACAGTCTGCCTGAGGATCAGTCATCCTAAATGGCAAACTTAGGAGACACTTGGCAAGTTGTCTCTCAAAACACACTTTTAATGTGCCCGTATACCCTGTCCACTGCCATAAAAGTGACATCAATCACAAAAAGCAATGAAAAGATGGCTTCCCTGATATTAAAAACCACTTAGCTTCAGAGCTCATTTATTTGATAAACATGTATTTAATATGCCAGGCAGCAAGTTAGATGCTAAGGGAATTGTCTCAAGGTGTGGCCAACACTTTCTTAGGGAGCTCACATAAGCATGTGATGACTACTGGGTAGTGGTGAAACTAAGGGTGCACACCTGTGACACACCATTACAGTGCACCTAACCCAAAATGTTGGCAGTAGGCAAGGTCTAAGAAAATTCATTAAGGACAGATGGGACATATCTGTGGATTCATCCATCCATCCACCCACCCACACATCCATCTGTTTGGCAACGTAGCTACATGAATGAGAGGTAGGACTAGTGGGAAGGAAAGAGCCGAAAGCCGAGGAAACAGGGCAAGAAAGAGCATGACATCTAGAAATGATACAAGTAATTCTAGACACACTGGAGGCTAAAGCATGAAGAAGAGATGGGAGTGAGGCCAGGTGGCACTCAGTAGGGACTCGTCATGTCACATTAAAGAAGGAGACATTATTATGAGGAAACTGGGGAGTCAGTGGAGACTTAAGCCAGGAAGTATCACTTGGTATTCTAAATAGATCCTTCGGTGTGCAGTATAGGGAATAGATTGGAGAGTAACCCAGATAGACGAGAGAAGGGCAGGGAGGAAGAAAGGAGGAAGGGAGGGAGGGAGAGAAGGAGAGAAGGAAAGAAAATCAGGACCAGGACCATACTGTAATATGTGTACAGATGAAAAATAATGATGTTTTGCATGACAATAGTGGCTGTGATGAAGAAAGGCATACATACTCAAGAGGGACCCAACTATCAGAAACAGATAAAACTTCACTTGAAGTGAACTGAAGGAAAATAGGAATGGAGAATGAATCTCAGCTTTCCATTTTGATGAGTCTTAATGAGCTAGCTGGTGAAGCCTCCTTTCAGGTTGAAGATTATCAGAATGGAAGTCCACTGAGGGTGCTTTTGAAGAGGCCCTGGGTTCGATTCCTCAGCACCACATAAGCAAAAAAGAAAAAAAGCCAGAAGTGGTGCTGTGGCTCAAGTGGCAGAATGCTAGCCTTGAGCTGAAGAGCTGAGGGACAGAGCCCAGGCCCAGAGTTTAGGCCCCACGACCGGACCCAAAAAATAAAAGAATAAAAAAATAAAGTAGCAGGCAAGCTCTTGATCTAAGTGTGAGCAGGAGCTTGAGAAGGACATAAAAAGAAGAGAGGATGAGAAGGCTCATTGTAGGAATGAAAAGGAGGTGAGGAAAAGATTTCTGGGCAAGTTTTTGGGTCGAGGTGAGTGAAAACAAACTGTTAGAGACATCTCTTGCTATAATTGTTATTATTTCCTCCCAAAGAGTTCAGCAATCTAGTCAGGGAAGAAAAAGGCAAGCAGCCAGATTGATCTCATATTGGGATGTGGTAGAGACAAAGAGCAATGGAGTTGAGGGCATTGGTAAAAGGTTCCAGAGAAAAAATCATGGGGGTGATCTTAACATGATGTCCATTTTTTCAAAGAGCCAGAAGAAAGAGAAAATAAGTAGTCTACGGGGCCATAACAAATGCTTTGAGAGAAGAGGAGTAAACTAGAAAGAAAAAATGTCCAAAAGTGTCAAGCAGAAATGAACAGTTCATAGGAAGTGAGAGTTGAAAAGCGAAGGTTGAAAATTACCCACTGTTTGTTTATTTTTTTTGTGAACTATACATTATTTTTACAAACTTCCCTCTTCAAAAGCACCCTCAGTGAACTTCCATTCTGATAATCTTCAACTCTGATAATCTTCAGAGAGGGAGCTGTTGGTTTTATTCATCGTTTGGTATGTTGAGATGGAAACAAATGATGGTTGTGGAGAATGAAGTGTCTGGTTTTTTGAAACAGCCATTGTTTGATGTGTCCACGTTTACCTTTGGCTTTGTTTGGTGCTAGAGACTGAACACAGGTTGGGCTCTTCCATTGATCTACAAGTTCCATTCTGTCTTTGTGTGTGTGTGTGTGTGTGTGTGTGTGTGTGTGTGTGTGTGTACTGGAGCTTAAACTCAGGCCTGGGTACTGTCACTGAGATTTTTCACTCAAAGCTGGCACTCTATGGCTTGACCCACATGTTCTATTAGTTTTTTTGCTAGTTAATTGGAGATATAAGAGTTTCTTCGGACTTTCTTGCCTGAGCTGACCTCAAACGGAGATCCTCAGTTCCCAGCCTCCTGAGTAGCTAGGATTACAGGCATGAGCTATTGGCCTCTGGCTCCCAGCCTATCTTTAGTTTTTATTTGGAAGTAAAAGGGAAATCAGAAGGCTATTCATTGGGACATAGGCTATGAGAGAAATGTAAGCATCAGTAAAGCAGACTAAACAATACAAGAGCATAGTCATATTTTCTTTCTTTAACTTATTAAAACAGAGAAAGCTTTTTCAGAAGCAACCAAAAGACAAATGGACATGATGTCATGTAGGAAGCATTAGAATATTTTTCATAATTATTTTTTCAACACATGAACTGTGATTATCAAGTGTAAAGTAACATCAACAAACATAAGTTGAGGCCTGGGGAGAGTTCTGCTCCTTTGCCAGTGCAAAAGGATGTAGAAGAGAAAAGAAATATGATCTAGAAAGAAGGGCGTTGTTTTTCTTTTTCTCCTCATTAGCTAGAGAAAACATCCAAGGAAATAATTTGTATCTTAAAGATAAAATGAATACACACAAAATAAGCACACACAGGGGAACTTTTCTCTAACAATCTCTAAGTGTTAGTTTTCTATTCTCTTTAACATTAATAAGCTGTGTGTTTTTTAAAATATGTACACAAAGTAAAACTGTGAAAATGTAAACATTTTTTCTTAAATTATATTGTCTAGCCCTCTGCTTTAGGTAGATGTTCTTCAATAGATCAAATTTCCTAACACACTAGCCTGAAGACGGTGGCTTACATCTGTAATCCTACCTATACATGAAGCTGAGATTTGAAGATCGTGATTCCTAGCCAGCCAGGACAGCAAACTCTGTGAGACTTTTATCTCAAATTAACCACCCCAAACATAGAAGTAGAGCCGTGGCTCAAGTGGAAGAGAGTTAGCCTTGAGCACAGAAGCGCAGAGACAGCACTCAGGTCCTGGTTTTAAGCCCCAGGATTGGCACGTGCACCCATGCGCGTGCACGCACGCGCGCGCGCACACACACACACACACACACACACACAATTTCCTAAAATACTAAATAAAAATGTGAACAATGCTATGCTTTAGATTTGTCTCTCAAACTGTAATTACTCAAGAGGTGTTTCCAAAAATTGCTACCATACCGGGAGTTTTGAGAGTTGTACATAAAAGGATATAAAGTTGGATAGTTTCAAGTGAAACAGTCAGGTGCATGCCACAGTCCTCAGAAATTTGAGACCAGCTTAAGCAGCCATACCAGACCTTGTCTTAAAAGAAGCAGAAGCGGAAATGGAGAAAGCAGAGGAAGAAGAAGAAAGAAGAGGAGTAGGAGGCAGCAGGAGGAAGAAGTAGAAGAATGAGATCATTAAAATCTTAAATTCCCTAAAAATTAACATTCCTCTTTCAGCATGGCATTTTCAGAGATGTTTTTCTCCTCTAATATAATTGATTTGAACTATTCTTCTTTTCTTTCCCCTCACCATTGATAGTATTTTTTCTTCTCTTTACTTTTTCTGGTTCTTCTTTCAAAAACTTAAAATTTGCCACTCCCAACTTCCCCTTCTCCCTTGGCATTTTAGAATTTATACCTATCCTGAAATTTTCTCATTGTGGTAACTCAATGGCATTTAATTCACATTGTTGCTTAGCCATTGGGCCCATAACTTAGACTGGCTGTTGTGTATGCTTTAAAATTTTAAATGTTTTCAGTAATGGCAGCATCAATAGACAAAGTTTAATCCTCCAGGCTCAGTTCCTAGACCTTCCTCTTTTCTACACCCACTCCCTGGATGATCTCATCCAGTTTTGTAGCTTTAAATATCATCTCTTGCCAAGGCAACAGTGATACTCAATAGACACTATGTTGGAAATGAACTTTACAACTTGGGTGGGGGAATGAAGGGGAGAAGGGGGGAAAATGAAGGAGGGGTTAACACTTCAAAAAGAAATGTACTCATTGCCTTACTTATGTAACTGTAACCACTCTGTACATCACCTTTACAATAAAATTTTAAAATAAGTAAATAACATCTCTTCACACCAGCCACTGGTGGCTCACACCTGTAATTCTAACTACTCAGGTGGCTAAGATCTGAGGATCATGGTTCAGAGTCAGCCTGGGCAGAAAAGTCCATGAGACTCTTATCTCCAATTAACCACCAGAAAACTTGAAGTGTTGCAATAACACAAAGGGGTAGAGCATTATTAGTGCCTTCAGCAAAAGAGCCCAGGGACAGGGCCCAGGCCCTGAGTTCAAGCCTCATGACTAACAAAAAGAAAAAAAAATCTCTTCCCCATTGACTCCCACATTCATGTATTTCATCCAGACTTTTCTAAACTCACAGACCCATTTGTCTTCTTAGTATCTCCACTTGGGTGTGTAATAGGGAACTCACAATTCTCTGGTATTCCAGGACAAACCTGTTCCCCCCTAGTCTTTCCTTCCCATCTGTGTAAATGGCTATTCCATCCTTCCATCCTCAAGCTGCAAACATCTTTACTCTTTTCTCCTATATCCTATATCCAGCCTGTCAGTAAATGTATTGTCTCTTTCTAGAAAAGACATCCAGGATTAAACTATTTTCCTCATTTCCATGTTGCTGCCTTCTATCCATACACCATCAGATCTAGCCTGAGTTATTGCAACAGCATTCTTACTAGTCATTCTGCTTGCTGACTTGCCCTCTTTGCCTCTTTGGTCTTAACACACAAGGCAGTTATCCTGTTAAAAACAGATTATAGCACTACTCTGTTTAAAATATCCAGCAGCTTCCATTACGACTCAGAAGAAAAAACAAATGCCATTACAAGTTTATGCCCTTAAGGAACTTCCTTAAGAGGGAAAGAGCACCAGGTACAAGTGGCTCATGCCTGTAATCCTAGCTATTCAACAAGTTAAGATCTGAGGATCGTGGTTCAGAGCCAACCCAGGCATGAGACTCTCATCTCCAATTAACCACCAAAAAAGCTGGAAGTGAGCTGTGGCTACTGTGGCTACACTGTGGTAGAGAGCTAGCCTTGCACCAAGAAACTCAGGGACTGAATTCAAGCCTCAGGATGAGGCAGGGAGATGACTGAAAGAGGATGTTTAAAATAACTAACTGGCTTTAATTGAACTAGGAATAAATTTGTCCCATTCTGGAGCATCTTGAAATTTTGTCCCCGTCACCTCTTGGATCTCACCTATTCCTCTGCCTCTTTCCTCTTTCCAACTGCTTCGGCATCCTCTGCTTCCTGTCCTGAGGATACCTATAGGCTCTTTCCCTACATATGTCCACAACTCATTGATTTTCTTCAGAACTTTATTCTTGAGAATTTCCATGGAAGCTCTATTTAAACATTAATCTTCCTTCCCAGATCTTTTTTCCCACTTTCCTGTTTAATTTCTTCTTGCATGTATCACTATACATATATACATATTTTACTTGGTTAGGATCATGCATTGTAGAAAGTAAGCAGAGGGCAGGAATTTTTCCCTTTTTGTTTTGTATCTCCAACTCATGACACATAGGAAACACTCTACAAACATTTATTTTAAAAAATGAATGACTCATGACTACTCTGAAAGGATCAGCACTTAGTATCCAACAGTCAGTAGTTACAGTATTATTACTTTATAGTTATCTTCATAGAATTCAGTTCAACAATGTCTTATGGACAGTTGCTCCTTAGAGGGATCTGTCCTGGGTGCGGAGGTTGTGGGGCTAAGAACCCCAGACTGAATACAGTGATAACAGGGACTCTGTCCTTCAGGGAGCAAACTCTATGGGGACATCAGGGCCAGTGGACATGACATATAATTTCTTGAGTAGCCAGGAGTGCAGAGGGAGAGATTATCCCAAGTTTCCATACACTTCTGATTACTGATCAGAAGCATTTGCTTCCATGTTATCTGATGTGATTCATCTTCCTCATCTGCCATAGTTCCCAGTCCTCCATACATTCCCATTCTAGTTTATATAGTTTATAGAGCTCTTTATTGCTTGAAGCTCTTATCCCTGAGATACCTAACTTCCAGTTATCTATCCCTCATCTGTTCATCATCACACCTTAGTTTTTCAATGAGTCATCAGATAACTCAACACTTTATAATTGCTCAAGGCATCCAGAATATTTTGGCCAAGTACTACCGAAGTTAAACCATCAACTAAAACAAACACAAAGCAAACAAATCCTACGCAGACTTTTAAAAATAGTTAGCAAGAATACATTTTGGGAAAAAAAATATACCCTTTGGAATCAATGAATCAAATTGATTGGACATCTGGGCATTACTATGTAGCTTCTGTAAATAATTATAATGATAACTGCTCTGTGGGTTTTCTTTGAATGAAAGGCATTTTTAAAGAAAACATGCTGCTATAAATCTCTAGCTGCATCCCCTAAAGGAAGAGAGTAGTTCAAGGCTGGGTATAATCACACTACTATATGTAAATATACAGAGCATTTTATTTTCAGGGAAGTACAACAAAATTATAGCTGAGATTGTGCTTCAAGATGATACATTAATACATTAGATGAATAACTTAAAAGTAGTTATTCACTAGATAAAAGTATTCTCTTCCTCTCTAAAAACAACCTAGTCAAAAAGCATGTGAACCTAGGAAAGTTGAGATGGATGGGAATGAGATAAGTAAGTGTGCATGGGGGAAATGATTGAAAGGATGATTCTGATCAATATTCATTGTACACATAAGTGGTCATGTTAAATTGAAACAACTATTTGAAGATAACAAAAAAGGGTAGAAAAAAACTATGTGAAATGGTATTAGAGAATCATGCACTTGTTCCTATATAGCTTATTTTAAAGGATAATGGGTAATGTTAAGTGCAAATAGTCTTTACTTGTTACAGATAACTTTTTCTACTTAATGTAAGAAAATACTAACTTTTTTTTTTTTTTGGTCTGGTCGTGGGGCCTGAACTCTGGGCCTGGGTGCTGTCCCTCAGCTCTTCAGCTCAAGGCTAGCGCTCTACCACTTGAGCCACAGCACCACTTCTGGCTTTTTTTCATTTTGCTTATGTGGTACTGTGGAATCGAACCCAGGGCCTCATGCATGCAAGGCAAGCACTCTACCACTGAGCTACCTTCCCAGCCCAGAAAATACTAACTTTTATGCAAAGTATATATAATCTTCTAGGAATCATCCATTAAACTGTAATATGCATACCATTCCTAAAAATTATCAGAGTAATTTGGTTTTACTTTTCTCTAATTTACATTTTGAAGTAATAATAAAGCCTATCCAAATGAATAATTTTAAAACAAGTTAATTATCCCAGCATATGTTAGTTCATCATCTATTTGGTTCTGACTGAGTTACTTTGATTTACTAAGTCTCCATTTCTATGTCTCTAAAATGGAGTTTATTTTCCTTAATCAACGAGGTTCTTGTGACAATAGGGGATACAGTACCCTTACAGAATGAGTGGCCCCTGACTTAAGACTGCTGCTGCTGAAGACATACACATGAGCAGAAGTCAGTAATTGAGGAAAACAAGTGGTTAAATGAACAGGGTTTACAAAGCATTGTACTCACATTACTTTGTTTTATCTTTTAAGTTAAAAAAATTCCAAGTGTCTGCTGGGTGCAGTGACTCAAGCCTGTAATCTTAGCTACTTGTGAGGCAGGGATGGGGGTGGAGTAAGGATCAAGGTTTACTTGTCAGTCTGGGGAAAAGAAAAAGTTCACCAGATTCCCATGTCAACCCATGCCCCAGACACAGTGGTGTCATCCTAACAATTCTGGGAAACACAAATAAGAGGATCACAGTCCAGGGCCAGCTGAGGTGTAAAGTGAAATTCTATCTCCAAAAAACCCAAACAATGTAAAAGGGGCTGGAGATGTGGTTCAAGTAGTTGAACTCAAGCACCCTTCCTCCTCCCCTCCCTCAAAAATCTAAGTATAGCTTAACATATAAATGTAAATACCTATAAAAACCTGTTTAAGTCATTTAGCATTTTCTGTATGCTGTGACATACTGACTTTATCACTGTGTCTCAAAACTAAACCTAAAGAGATTACTAAATGCTTAGATCTTGAAAGGCATATTTTATACACAACATTATTTGGGAGTATTAATTGTGTGCTACCTCTTATTATTTAAGGAATCAGTCCATAAATTATCACATTAACTGTCTTACCAGTAAACTGTAAGGACTGTGAAGGAAAGGAACATACAGTTTTTGTCTTTCAGGCTACCTGCTTTGGCACAAGGCAATTTGAATCTAATATATTTAGCCCTGGGCTCGAAGCACAGTTTTTAGCTATGCTGTCATAGACAAGTCACTTAAACTCTATTTCAGCTTCAGATCACCCATGGATAATATTCTTTTCCATCCATAGCATTAAGATTACTTTTTTAGCTGTGCACAGGTGACTCGTACTTATAATCCTAGCTACTGGAGGATGATAGTTTGAGGCCCACCTGGGTAGCTTCATGAGTCTCTCAAGATGGGCACAATGTCACTTGCCTGGCATCTCAAGCTATGTGGGAGGCTAAGATTAAGAGGACTGCAGTATCAGGACAACCTGGGTAGAAAAGTCCATGTGACTATCTTCATAGAGGAAAGCTAGACACTGGTGCATGCCTATGATCCCAGTTACAACAAGAAGCCTAAAAGTTCCGATTTCCAATGTGACCTTTAATTATAGACATTGTTCATCCATGAACACTTGCCACTACTCAGTCCTTTTTCTGTCCATTCTATAAATCACAAATCCTTTAATACATTTTAAAATAGCACACTCCCATGTTGTCCTTCTCCATCCTCTAACCTCTTTTTGTTGTTATTGTTCTTCTTACTATTTATCACATTCTAACATATGGTATATTTTTACTTATTTCCACTCCAGTAAGAAAGTAAGTTTAGTGGGGACAGATATTTTTATGTTTGGTTTATTGCTATATCTCTAGAACCTGGAATGGGATCTGACACATAGCAGTTCAAAACTTATTTGACTGAATAAGTGAATGAACAGTGTTTAAAATTCTTTATTAATTGTCTTTCCCCAAACTATAACTTGTCTAATGTTCTACCAACTCAGTTTCTCTATGTTAACAAGGCCTTCCGCTCCCATCATTAGGTTTATTCATTTCTCCCTTTCTGACATGTAAGGATATTCTTCTACCTTTTCCCTACAGGTTATATCATCCATCCATTCATTTACTTCCAGATTTATTGACTGCTTATGTGATCCAAACCATGTGCTAAGTGCTGGAGCTGAGACAAGACTAACTCAATCCCTACCCTCCTTGTCCATTCAAGGATTGCTTGAGAATCCTTAAAGTACTGTACTCCCTTGGCTCTTGGCTTCTCTTACCATAACTCCTGGGTTTACTTTGAAACTGTGGTTGGTTTGGTTGCTATCCAATTTTGAGTTAAACTCTTTTAATAGTAAGTTAATAGAGCAAAGAGCAAGGGATGCTCACTTCCAATGAATCCATATCTGCATCACTTTTCTGTTGAGCCAGTAGAAGAGGTGCTTATTCCTGAACAGTGATAGTCAAACTTCCTGATCCATAAGGCCTGAATGTGCAGGACCTAAGATGGACAACTTTTAATTGACAAAGTCTGTTTTGGTTTTGTTTTTGCGGGACTGGGGTTATTATGCTGAACTTAATATGACTGCTGAACCACACCTCACTGGTAGTTTTCACTGGTTATTTTTAGGATAGGTTCTCTTTTCTTGTTTGGGTGTGCCCTAGAGCTGCACTCTGACTTCTTTAGGTTTCCTGTCATTGCTGGGATCGCAGGCATGTGGCACTAAGTCCAGCTTTCTTCCATAGAAATGGAATTTCTTGGACTTTTGTGCGTAGGCTGCTTTGGTACCACAATGCTTGCAATCTTAGCCTCTTGAGCATATAGTGATGACAAAAGCCTGCCACTGAGCCCAACTATGGGTTAAGAAGGAGTCTCATGAGCTTTTCTGGCTTCAAACTGTGCAACTCTCCCATTCTCAGCCTTCTAAGTAGCTAGGATTATAGGCATGAGCCCCTGGCACTAGGCTGACAGAGAGTCTTGAAATCATCCCATGCTCATGGCCCTAGGTTTGTCTGTACCTTTCACCAGAAATTTGGGAGCACTTAGTTCCTGTACCTAAGGATTTCCCCCATTTTGCTCTGTGGACCTTTTAAATTCCTGAGAGTCACTTGGAGTTCTGCAAAGAGAAAATCCAATGGCCAAATACCATCACCTATTTATTTCTCCCTTTTGGTGATGCAAGATAGACAATTAAAAATATTGGTGTATTTGCAAATATTTAACTTTGTTATATCCAGTTGCAATAGCTTGAATGAGTCTCTCATGTATTTCTCTTCCAGCAGTTGTGGAGGAGATGGTCAGTAACAGAGAGAAAACATAGTTTTATGGAACAAATATAGACTTCAGGAGGTCATAAAGCTAGTGACTTAGTCACTAGCCTTCGGTCACACTGCTGGGCAAGACACTTTACCTCTGAACCATAATGTCATCTCCTAGGCTTTAGGAGAACCATTTTAGGATAGGGCCATAATTCCATTCTTTGAAACTTCTAGTCAGTTTAGGAAGTTTGTATATCAGGTTTAACTGGTGTTGAAAGTGGTCTTTTGGGTGGTGGTGATGAGGGAGGCATAGCTCAATGGCTTAGCCCTTGCCTACTATCATTGGGTCCCTAAGTTGTATAACCAGTACTCTTGTCTCCAAAAACATGGTCTTCCGGGTAGTTTTTGGACCTATGTTTTAAAATCTTCTCTCAGGGGCTAGGAAGGTGGCTCAGTGGTAGAGCACTTGCCTTGCATGCCTGAGGCCCTGGGTTCGATTCCTCAGCACCACATAAGCAAAAAGAAAAAAGCCGGAAGTGCACTGTGGCTCAAGTGGTAGAGCACTAGCCTTGAGCTGAAGAGCTGAGGGACAGTGCCCAGGCCCAGAGTTCAGGCTGCACAACTGGACCCCAAAAAAAATCTTCTCTCAAAAGAGAAGACTGATTACTCAAAAATGAAGCTACAAGATCTCAAAATTCAAAGCTGGAAATGAATTGTGTCCGATATGTCTTTATGGTAGCCTGACTAGTAGGGTAATACCTATAGAAGTTATAAGCAGTCTAATGCAGGAAAAGACAAGTCTCTGATTTATAAATAAGCAATAAATGAAATTTGAGGCTTTGATACTGGGTTTGAGCCCAGGGCCTGGTTTTTGCTCAGCTTACTTGTTCTGCTGGCACTCTACCACTTCAGACTGGGATCCTCCAGATATTAGCCTCCTGAGTAGTTAGATTATAGGCACAAGACACATGCCACCAGTGAAATTTGAGACTTATTATTTGAAATGAGATTAATTGGCTTATTTTTTGGAGTACTCAACTTCCAAAGATATAGGCAGATGATACCATAGCTATAACTGCTAACTTAATTTGCTGCTCAGCACTAATTTAGATCCTAAAGTGGCAGGATAGAGGCAGGTTAGCAACATTTCTGGGAGGCTTCTGTGGTCCTTAAAGGAAGATTCTCTTCTACTGACGAACTTTGAAAGGAAAGATTAATTCCCAAACTTATCCTATGAAGGAATGAAATTCTGCTATGACTTAATGTATGCTTATGGGGGGAAACGAAGTGGCACTGGATGCTATTCTTGCCATTAAAATGTAAATCTGGGGCTGGGAAAGTGGCTTAGTGGTTAAGTGCTTGCCTAGCATGTAGGAAGCCTTGAGTTCTGTTCCTCAGCAGCACTTAAGCAGAAAAAGCTGGAAGTGGCATCAAGTGATAGAGTGCTAGCCTTGATCAAAAGAAGCTTAGGGACAGTTCCCAGGCCCTGAGTTTAAGCCCTAGGACTGGAAAAACATAGTAAGTCTGGCCCAATGCTGGTGGCTCATGCCTGCAATCTTAGCTACTCTAGAGGCTGAGAGCTGAGGATCCAGGTTCAAAGCCAGTTTAGGCAGAAAAGTCTATGACAGTCTTATCTCCAATTAACCAGGAAAATATTGGAAATGGAGCTGTGGCTCGAGTGGTAGAGTGTCAGCCTTGAGCAAAAAACAAGCTAAGGGACAGTGCCCAGGCCCTGAGTTCAAGCCCAGTATCAGCACACAAACACACACACACACACACACACACACACACACACACCATGAATATGTTGAATTAGGAACTAAAATGAAAAATATTTATAAACTGGATGAAAGGGTATGTTGTAATAACTAACAAATTTTGGAGTTCTTAGACTCTGATGTAGGCAATGATGACAAGAAGTCATCAATGTCTTTAAAGGAGACACAGTTTGCTTCCAATAGGTTAGATAACTGCTTCTTTATTATTGTAAAGTAGCTATTGGACCGTTATGATCAGTTCAATTTGGTATCTGCTAAGTGAGCATGCCTGCCATCTGGTTCTCAAAACTGTGTTTTTGCTGCTTCATCGATGCACACGGCCCAGTAGCACTGCGATGTGAGGAGCCAACACACATTTGTGGATCAATTCCAAAGCAATTTGAGAGTTCTAGCCACTCACTTGTTTTCCACACAAACTGTTCTCCACTTAAGAAAACAATGGCTCTAACTTATTGTCTCTTTTCTGTCCTGGTATCTTTAAAAATGTCCATCATGACAGGGAACACAAATGGGCTCTCAATATTAAGCAAACAGGGACCAGGAGCAAAGTGGCAACCATCAGTGTGCAGCTTGTGTGTCTATGAAGTAGCAAAAATCCAGTTTGGGCAACCACATGGCAGGCATGCTCACTTAGCAGATATCCCATTGAATCAATTATATAAAAGTCCAGCAGCTACTTAAAGATGACTAAAGTAACAGTTGTCTAACCTAGAGTGGAAGCAAAATCTGCCTTCTTTTAACTACCTATTGTCATCAAATTCCAAGAAGGCAAAAGTCTAACATCTTGGGTCCTTTCTTGGTTTGGTGCCAGCAAGCATTGTTCTTGGTAGTCTTGTCAGGGTGCACAGAGAGCTACAGGTAGCTGGTACAGGTCTGTATGTGTTCATGGGAGTGGAAGGAAGAAGTTTCCAAAGCAATCTTTTCAGCAGATCCCTGGCAAGCAGTGCTGCCCCACAACCCAAGGCAGAATTAGCACAGAACACAGTGCCTGACACATACCAGGAATTCAATGTTTAGTAATGACAGCCATCCAGGAAGTTTGTGAATAGTTATATAAATGACTGTTAGAAGAGTGCTTATCTTAGTGTCTGTAGCCATTGTAATTTGTGCATTGGACATATGCCTAATGCCTAGTCCAGGCTTCTCAATCATAGCACTATTGCCATTTGGGGCTATAGATAATTCCTTGTTGAGAATGGAGGAGGGATACTGTCTTGCTAATGCTGAGGGTTTAGTAGCATCCTTGGCCTCCACCCACTGGACTCTCATTTTCTATGCCTCCCTCCCCCCCACCCTTCCAGAGCAAAAATATCTCCAAACCTTGCCAATGCCCCCAAAGTCTGGGTATGTGTGTGAAATCAGATACCTAGTTAAGAACTACTTATTAGTCTGTATATTAATGACATACCAGGGTTAGAAAGAATATTGCCTCTTCTTTGTTTCTGAATCACTATTTCTTGGTCTGTTTACTGAAGGTATTAGAGTCTGTTAATCTGCTTTCATCCACTTCCCTCTGAATGTTCTCATATATCTGGGGAGCCTTTTAAGGTACCTCCACTTATGTTATTAAAAAGGAGGGGGCCCATTTATCCCTTAGGAAATGGAAAATATTAAGCAAAGACAAAAAAGCTTACAGATGATTACAGTTTTGCAAAATGAGTATGGGCTGCAATGGGGTCAGGGACAGATCCAAGTCCTTTATATGTTGGGACCCATGTGTAGGTGAGTCCCAAAAGAAGCTTGTGTTAAAAGAAATGACTCCATTTCTTGCTCTGAATTCTTGGAATCTCAATGATAAAACTCTACTGTCACACAAAAGTATCCTTCTGACAAACAGACTTTTCCCCTCTGTTGGCATTGTTTTTATTTACTTCCTTTTTATATGAAAACAGTATCAGAAATATACCACTGTGGCTCCAGGAACAAACTTATCTCAGTAGCTCTCCCCCTTCAGAAACAGTATGTAGTCCTGCTAATTGAAGAAACCAGTAGCCTTGTAAACTTCTAAAGCAAAGTAATGATATGTGTCTATTCTTCAGTTAAAAAAAATTAGAATCTTAGAATTCTAACTGAAACCCAGGCCAATGGGCAGTCTGCTTGAAAATGACTGCACATCCTTGTCACAGGGTGAGGAATAATTTATGACAAATAAAGCTCATGAAAAATTCTAATTTCATTCATGTTGCTACAAGTATAGCTTCATGCTTTAAAAAAATGTGGGCTGGTAACATTTTTCTAGCTTATTTACTTACAGTGTAGAGTTAAACAGGTGTCCTTACCTCTCCTCCAGTGCACGGAAATGGGTTGGAGTATCGAGAGGTACAAATGGCTCCCTTCTTGACAACATCATCTTCCAAGCCAAAGGTGGCTGAGCAGTTAGTTGCAAAGTACTTGTATGGCTTCCATGTCTTTCCAAAGTCCTGGGAGCGGTCTAACACCATGGCTGCAGGCCTGGGAGACTTGAACACCATAATTAGGTGAGTGAAGTAGAATTCAGCTTCCAGATCTAACTGGATCTTTTCTCTGTGCACATCCTCTGCAGACTGCCACCATGTGCGGGGAAATCGGAAGGATGAGTCTGCCATGGCAGATGGCAGGTGAGCCAGGTGAGGATGGGCAGCATTGCACTTGTCACATTTGGGCTGCCGGCAAGTGAGATCTACATTCTCGCTGTAGAAGCAGTACAGCTCTGTAGCGTTCTGACCACAGGTGGTGTCTGCCCACAGTTTTCTCCCTAAAGCCAGATTCCCCATACGAGGGTTGCAGGCTTTTTCACAGCGGGAACTTGCTCCAGCTACTCCATTCAGTCCTAAGGACAGAAATGCATATGTCATTCAAGACCAATCCTTTGGGAGCTCAGTCTATCTGCAACAATCAAGGTAACCCCAAAGACCCATAAGGCTTTCCATAAAGGGGAAAGCCTACCAAACTTAACCATGAATAGTTTCTGCATTTGTATGTACAAGTGTGTGTTTGATGTTCACATATAAAATTCACAAAAGAGAAAAAAATCATTTCAGATAAAGGATGAGGGAGGGAAAATGGAAACATTGGGGTGAAGAATGTTGGCCTAATAGTTTCAAATACTTGGCATCCTCTTCTTTTAAAAACATGTAATTGTTTTTGAAATAATGACTGGAGCAATATAAAAAGTAATGTGTTTAAGATTGCCTAAGTTAATATTTCAAATATAATTGAGTCAAGTTGAATTTGGTTTTGTTTCTATCTCATATACTCATGAGAGTATATACTCACATGCTCTCATATGAGAGTACATTTAGGAGGAAAGTAGGAACCTATTTTCTTTATATCTTTAAACCAATGAGGAGGGATAAATCCCTGAAGAAAAGCATTATGAGATGTTTAACACATAGACAATAGAATGTCACTGAGGGAGGTAAAGCTAGAAGCCTGGATCTTAAATGTGCAAAATCTATTTCTAATATTAAGTAAATATAATGTGAAAAGGCTGCCAAATGACAGCTTCTTGAATGCTTCTACCTATGACAGGTTTTGTAGTGGTTGGTTACCTGTTTGCTTAACAGGAGAATGTTTACAGTCTGGCAGCCACTAAGAGTGCCTAAATATTGTCTGTGAACTAAATAAAACACCTTCTTAAAGAAACACCCTTCCTCTCAGACAAAGGTCCAACAGGCCTTAATGTTTCAAAATTGCTTAAAATGATAAACATTATCTGTTCATTAACGTTCTGACTACATACCGTAATCTTTTAATTTGAGTTTGTCATTTTAATTATGAACACCTTCAGCAAAAAAAAATCACTTATTTTAAAAGTTA